TTCTTCCATTTTATTTATCAATACATATTTCTGAATAAGAAATATACTTCTACTTTTTGGTTGGGTTTGATCAACATAAAGGGTGATCTTGCTGTAGTCAAGAAAAATATGTTTTATACGGCAAAGAAATGCCTTTATCTAATTGCAGAATGAATAAAATGGACAGAGGCAGAACTGAAGGAGATGCATGAAATGAGGAATATTTCAAAGATTGCCTGAGCATAACCACTGCTACTGGATAAACATATGGCAATATAAAAGAGCAGGGTCAATGGAGGTATCATACAGTATAGGCCATGAGAGACCCTGAAGAAGAAAGTATTGAACAGAAACAAAAATAAAACCATTTTGACATTTACTGTAAACGTGGTTATATTGACGAGGTGAAAAAATGACGATTTTTTGTTTGCGAAAATTGACGAGTGTTAATTTTAACGAAATATTTAATCATGAGTTATGTATCTTTGAATTCACAGGCATACAGGGGTAGCGTGGAATCACTAAAATTTAGAATTTTTTTTACAAACAATCTACAGTGTGTAAGTTTGTACAACCTATCCAAGTGTGTAAGATTTGATTAAATAAATTGCCTTGTATTTGTTCATTATCAGCGGTCAATTGCCTGAGGTGACGAACTAGGTCAAGGTCGGTGTGATAATTACGCATGCAGTATTTGATACACTAGTTTACATTCAATGGTTTTAAAAAATGTTATTATATATCACTGTGTTTTCATAACTAATTACAGAAAAAAATAAACAGTAACTTTGATCTAGTTTTAAAAGGGGAAACCCGAGAAAATTAAGCGGTAATGGTGTACAGTGGTCAATGTCTGTTGTGGCGCTATATATAATTATGATACGAAGTTTGACGAGTGTAAATTTTGACGAGAAAAGAAAAATCGTCAATATAGTCAACATTAACACATCGTCAAAATTTCCACGTTTACAGTATTGAAATATAGGATCAAAGTCTTACATGTAAAATTTGGGCATATAATGACTTTTCTCTAGCTCTAAGACTTATAACAGTGATGATTTGATTTAATATCTTTATCCCGATTTGTCGAAAAGATTTGGATATAGTGCATCAATTATTTTAAAGTTTTGATACAACGAATTCATTCATTGTACTTGTAACTGAGTTTTCTGGTGCGACACTGTTTTATCGGCTTCAAAACTAAGTTTGTGATTTCCAAACAAGATTAATGAGATAATGTAATATCTTTTAACATCGGTGACTATTTAATCCATTGTTTTACATCTCAGAAGTATTTTTATTATTACAGGGAAAATATGCATTGTACATGTATCTCTAATAAACAGGATTATAGAACTTTTCCATATAATACAACACAATCTTAGCAACTGAAGGCAAATATTTTATTAAGGGTGTGATCTATTTATCAATATGGTTTTCAGTATCTTGATCTACCTGTAATGACTTGCTCCAAGTTCCAATATTTAAATTTAAATTTTGCAAACATGGTTATAAAATTCTTTAAAAACCAAATAGTTTAGGCACAAAATGCTTATATATTTCCTATCATTTGTAAAGTGTACACTGAATGAGATGTGGAATGTTAGAATTAAAGTATTAAATATGTTTTGGACTTATGTATGCTTATGCAGATAAATTTGAATTCAACTAGGGAAGGTAAATGTCATACTTATAGGGTTTGCAATCTAATGCAAGAGTATAAATATCCAAGACAAATTAATTTGACAATTTTAATGAAGGGTATAAGTAACCCAAGAAGAATTGGACAGGTAAACATCACCTGTTGGGTTTTATTCTAATGTTGGATTGTAATATCCAAGAAGAGCTGAACCAATGTCCAATACCTATTGGGTTTTCTTTCTTATGAAAAAAAATTTGAGTAACCCAAGGAGAATGTCCAATACCTTTTAGTTTCTATACTATTGAAGGGATGAAGATATCCAAGAGGAATTGGACAGGTGTCCATTACATGTTGGGTAGTATTCTGATGAGGGGATTCTCAAGAAACCCAAGAATTAGACAAGTGTCCATTGCCTGTTGGGTGGGATGTAGATATCCAAGAGGAGTTGGACGGATGTCCATTACCTGTTGGATGGTATTCTGATGAAACAATTCAAGAAACCCAAGAAGAATTGGACAAGTGTCCATTACCTGTTGGGTGAGATGTAGATATCCAAAGGAGTTGGACGGATGTCCATTACCTGTTGGGTGGTATTCTGATGAAACAATTCAAGAAACCCAAGAAGAATTGGACAAGTGTCCATTACCTGTTGGATGGGATGTAGATATCCAAGAGGAGTTTGACAGGTGTCCATTACCTGTTGGGTTGTATTTTATGAGGAGATTCAAGAAACCCAAGAATTAGACAAGTGTCCATTGCCTGTTGGGTGGGATGTAGATATCCAAGAGGAGTTGGACGGATGTCCATTACCTGTTGGGTGGTATTCTGATGAAACAATTCAAGAAACCCAAGAAGAATTGGACAAGTGTCCATTACCTGTTGGGTGGGATGTAGATATCCAAGAGGAGTTAGACAGGTGTCCTTTACCTGTTGGGTTGTATTTTGATGATGCAATTCAAGAATTCCAAGAATTAGACAAGTGTCGATTGCCTGTTGGGTGGGATGTAGATATCCAAGAGGAGTTGGACAAATGTCCATTACCTGTTGAGTGGTATTCTGATGAAACAATTCAAGAAACCCAAGAAGAATTGGACAATTGTCCATTACCTGTTGGGTGGGATGTAGATATCCAAGAGGAGTTGGACAGGTGTCCATTACCTGTTGGGTTGTATTTTGATGAGGAGATTCAAGAAACCCAAATAGAATTGGACAATGTACACACGTTCAATTGTTCTTGGGTAGTTTAATCCCTTCGTCAAAATACAACCCAACAGGTATAGGACACCTGTCCAATGCCTGTTGGATACCTTCATTCTGTTCAACATGTAATGGGCATTTGCTTATTATTAATTGGTCATGACTCAAAAAGGTTTCTCCTTAAATACTTAATTTTGTTATTCAAGAAAGTTTGAACAGAGTCTGAGATGTGTTGAGTTGTGTTTTCACAATTCAGTTTTTTTGCACTTAGGTATTCATATATTTTAATATTAGTTATTTTGAAATATACAGGTGTATATCCTTATTGCTAAGAAAAAATTAGTTAGGTGTTACAATAAAAGAGCTATATCACAGAAATTGACAAAAATATGGGTTCAAAACCAAAGGTTTTCAGTCTTGTCTGAATTTACCAGCAAATATTAAATATAGAATATAAATTTGAAATGAATAAAAAAACAATAAGAAAAAACCCAATAAAATACGGACACGGGGATTAATATCCAATAAGATTTGAACAGTAACTACCCAAATAATGCTCTCTCGTGTGTACACTTTTTTTGTATCCAATAAGCAGTATCCAATAGGACTTGGACTTGATGTACCCAATATATAACCAAATGTGTGTCCGTCCGTCTGTCTGTCCGTCTGTAAACTTTTCACATTTTCGACTTCTTCTCAAGTACCACTAGGCCAATTTCAACCACACTTGGCACAAAGCATCCTTGGGTGAAGGGGATTCAAGTTTGTTCAAATTAAGGGCCACGCCCTTTTCCAAGGGGAGATAATCATGAATTTGTTAAAAATTAATGGCATTTTTAAAAAATCTTCTTCTCTAGAACCGCTGGGCCAGGAAAGATAAAACTCAGGTGGAATCACCCTCAGGTAGTGTAGATTCAAGTTTGTTCAAATCATGACCCCCGGGGCAAGGGTGGGGCCAAAATGGCCGACCCAAGTTTTACATAGGAATATATAGGAAAAATCTTTAAAAATCTTCTTCTCCAGAACCACTGGGCCAGGAAAGATGAAACTCATGAGGAATCATCCTCAGGTAGTGTAGATTCAAGTTTGTTCAAATCATGACCCCCGGGGCAAGGGTGGGGCCAAAATGGCCGACCCAAGTTTTACATAGGAATATATAAGAAAAATCTTTAAAAATCTTCTTCTCCAGAACCACTGGGCCAGGAAAGATGAAACTCATGTGGAATCATCCTCAGGTAGTGTAGATTCAAGTTTGTTCAAATCATGACCCCCGGGGCTAGGGTGGGGCCAAAATGGCCGACCCAAGTTTTACATAGGAATATATAGGAAAAATCTTTAAAAATCTTCTTCTCCAGAACCACTGGGCCAGGAAAGATGAAACTCATGTGGAATCATCCTCAGGTAGTGCAGATTCAATTTTGTTCAAATCATGACCCCCGGGGCAAGGGTGGGGCCAAAATGGCCGACCCAAGTTTTACATAGGAATATATAAGAAAAATCTTCTTCTCCAGAACCACTGGGCCAGGAAAGATGAAACTCATGTGGAATCATCCTCAGGTAGTGCAGATTCAAGTTTGTTCAAATCATGACCCCCGGGGCTAGGGTGGGGCCAAAATGGCCGACCCAAGTTTTACATAGGAATATATAGGGAAACCTTTTAAAATCTTCTTTTCAAGTACTTCAAAGCTATGATTAGTGATATTTATATGGAATCATCCTCAGGTAGTGTAGATTCTAGTTTGTTCAAATGATGACCGCCTGTGGGGGGGGGGGGGGAGTAAATTAAAGCCCGATGTGCTCAGGTGAGCGCTGTGGCCCCTGGGCCTCTTGTTGTCTCATATTTCCGTCATGTATTCTATAATACATGTACATGTAAAAGGCTTTTGCGATCATTCTAAGACACAACTGATCACTTCGCATTTCATATCATGCTAAAAATCATTGGTATCTAAGGCTTGATTCAAGAAAATCTTATTGCTCATAAACTGTATTAATTATGTTTTTCCTTTTAAAGTGTACAAATATAAACCTTTATAAGACCTTTTCTAATGCATAGGTCACATTTCCCGGCCGGTAGCCGTAGACCGGTGGTAATCGGTGGTAATCCGTGGTGTTAACAATGCCCCAACATCGGTCCACATCGGCTTAGTAGTCCTTACAGAATCAGTCACATTATCCAGCGATGGGTATACGATGGGCAACCAATACGTTTTATGATAATAATGGCGTGGTTGCCGGCCGGACTTTCAAAGGCCCAGCGATGCATTGCTAATCATAAAACGATGTCCCAGGATAATCGGCCGATGCATATTACTTCGCTCATACATTAATGAACATCGTTTGAACATCGACCAATGATCGGCCGTTATCTGTTGAAAACCACTTAACCCCCCGATGACATCAGATTCAACGGATATTGAACGATGCTCGGCCAAACATCAACCGATCCGTGAAAGATGGGTTAATGATGGGTTGTCGATGAGGAGCGATGTGAGGCATCGTTGGAGACATCGCTGAATTTTAACTACGAATTATTTCCTACCGATTACACCTCCGATTCGCACAATGGCCTCAGTTACCTTCCGATCACTTCCAACCACGCCATTTTCATCAAAAAAAAGCATCGGTTTCTCATCGTATACCCCATCGCTGGATAATGTGACTGATACTTAAAACTTCCAAAAAACCTTTAATCTTATAAAGATGAATAAAGTGAAAATTGATGCATGAAAAATTTTCATTTTCGAGCTTCGTTTTGATGCATTTCAAATTAAATATTAATTTTTAGAGTTATCCTTCCTTGCTGAGGATCGGATATCCTTAAATACGTTGTATTTACATGTGTGCTAGTTTATGTAAAATAAGTATAGCAGACTGGGATTTTACGCCGGTGGTATGCGAAGTTCCAGCCAATGATAAGCGGGCTAGGATAACGTGGATAGTTGAGCAGATCACTTATATTTTTATTTCCATGCTGTCCCGGTATTTTTGGAATCACGTATATTTTGAATTTCAATCGGAGCTTGTTAGTCTGATCCCCATTCTTTTGTGTAAAGTATTTTCTTTCATGTCGTCATTTAAATAAATGACATTATTCATCTCTGTGAATGCGTTTGAGTGTTAATCTTTAAGCAAACTAATCAAAAAGTAGCTGCCGAGCACTTGAAGACATTAAGTGCAATTTTAGCGATTTTCAGTTTTGTCGATTTTAACATTCTCGCTATTAATGCTAAAATTAAAATAACTGAATATTCTGCTTATATGGTACTAAAGTATCAGTAATTTTTCTTTTTTTTTGTAGAAAAATACAAGCAGTTGTCAAATGAGGAACGTGCTGCCTTATTTCTCCTCCTTTGCAGTAATGATAATACCTTTATCCTAGAAAGCACAGACACTTTTACAACAAGAGTACTTGAAATTTGTGGGACAAAACTTATTTTAAAGAGCATAACCGAAAGCATTCAGACATTGCAATCCAAAGGGTTCGTTTTCATTAAAGACAAAAAAGTGACATTTGCGTCAGATGGCGTCCAAGACGAAACAATGTTTGATTACTTACACACATGTTGGAAGAGAAGGAAAACTGATTTTCAAGAAATGGTCATGTTTAAAGACATAAGAAAGAGGAAAAATTGTCTCTTTTGTCCCTTTATTGAGGGACAATTACTTAAAGTGTCGCTAGAGAGCTCTGTGAAATATTTTAGATCTCAAAGTTACCGGAAAGGGAAATTTGTCCGCTGTTTCACTTTAAAAGAATACAGAAGAACCTTTGGGACGTACGCGTCTTATAAAGAAATACTAACCAGAATTATTTCTAAGCTTGGAAAAGATATACTCATTTATGACATATTGGATGATAAACCATTGCATTCTACTATTTCAAGACAGTGTAAGTACCATGCCTTTTCTTCTCATGCAATCTCTTTCTTTTTCTCTCTCTTTCTTTCCATCTTGAACAGTAGAGGAGATTTTTAAAGGAACACCGACACATTTTCAGATGTTTTTTTTTCAAAATCAATATCGATGTTTACAATTAATGTAATTCAAATGATCGGAAAATAAATTTAACATCTTTTAATTTGTTGATTTACAAAGGAAACACAGAATTATGCCTATTTTTGTTTGTGAATTAAGCTTGTTTTTTTTGTAAAATGTTTCCTTAAGGGGACGGAGGATGTATGGCCACATGACTCAGTTTAAACTTTGATTAAACATGTACAAAACAAGATTAAAACCACAGATTTTGTATAATTTGTGACTCTTTGTTAGCGTTCACAATCTTGTAAAGGAATACTGTAGATCACTTAATTTTGCGACACCAATTTTTGGCGAGATTGTCATTATTTTTTTTTATTAGCGAGACATAATTTTCACAAACTGTTGTCACTTCTCTATAAAATCTTAAAGAATACTATTATAAGCGAGAATAATGATTTTTTGCAAGCTCACTGTCTCGCGTAATAACAGGAAAATAAAGTTCTCGCAAATGAAAAAATTATTAACAGTATTCAAAACATTCATACAAGATATAATATTTTACCAAATATTATCAAATTACGGACAAAATTGATCCACTATTCTGTTTCCCTACACTGCACGTCTAACGAGTCGTTGACGTTATAGTGGATTTCTTAAGGACAGATGATACTGTACAATTTTTTTTTCTTTGAAAAAGATTTAATATTATGTCACAAGTTTAGAAAAGTGGATGGTTCTTAGAAAATTTGTTTCCTAAAAACTGGAAAATGAAATAGACTTGGAAAATATTAGTAATATTTCAATGAAAAAATAAATATAGACAAATTACAATCAGTAAAGGTTTTCATGTGAAAATAAATTTCAGAATATGTTATCTGGCGCTAAAAGTGTAATATAAACCTTTGAAAAATATACCATTAAAGATTAAATCATGCGAAAAATCAAATTTTGTCAAATGATATTTGTAAAGTATGTCTGAAAGTTCAGGACATTTATTTACTGAACAGCCCTCATATATCACTAAAACATGTAAGCACTTTCGATTGAAAGTAGAGGTAAGTGTGGTTTTGGACAATGATGAAACGCCCTGAAATATACTAAAGAAAGCATCTATAGGATTGTGACTTTTTTGTTGAGTTCAAGGTATTTAATCACAAATTCACAATTGGCAGACGGCTTCACAAATAAAAAATAAAACATTTTTTTGGCTCTCAGTAATGTAATGTTATTGTAATTGACTTGATAAAAAAAATCTTTGACCATGTTCCTGAGCCCTTTACATCGTGATTGGAATTGGGAAGTGTGAAGTTGATACACAGTAAATAAGCATTTTGCTAAAGGTTGGCTTTCAGGGGTTTATTAGAAGAGGTCTGTGCCATAGATGGTTGGTTTGCAAAAGTGTTTGTACTGAGTATTCTAATGCCCTCAGAATTCGATTAGAATTGGTTGATCGGTTGTTCACTTCTGCTTACTAAGCCTTTTTGTATTTCCCTAATTTTCCATCCTTTTCTTGGATTTTGCATCTTGATGCAGATTAGGTTTTCTGTTTTGTCTTTCATAGTAGCATTAAATTGTTCTCTTTGTTGGTTTACAATTTAGAATTTAATTAATTTCTGTTTTAGGTGCAGATCTGTAGTTAGCTGATCTGAAAAAAAAAATTGAAGGACAACCAGAGAGCTATAGTTCCTCACATAAAAAACACCTTATATTTATTGCACAACAACATTTTTGCTTGGTTCTTTAAATTCAAACATCGGTTCCAAATTGCTAGATAATAACATGTGCCTTACTATTCCGTTAAATATATACATTTGTGGTATCTCTCCATTATATAAACATACAGAGAAAAAATATCTTCAATTCTGTATGAAGTTTGTCAGAGGTTAGAGGTCAATACGTGACCTATTCACACGGTATCTACCGGTACACAAGTTATTTATGACCTGCTCTACTTGCTTTTCAGATATAAAAATGAACAAAATAAGCAATTAAAATGATGATTAATTTATATACAATGTAAACAAGTATTTCATACAGTTTGTTGGCTATCGATTCAACCTCTGTACATAGAGAAAACTACCTTTTACAATTTTTTTTCATTTTTGTTAGCTGCAAAGTCTGTAGGGCCTAACGTTTATCCTTATTTTTGGTGTAGACCTTTCGTTAATTTTTCATGATAAACTTGGCTATTATTTTATCTCAAAATTCTACTCACGATAAATGTGTAAATCTGTAGGAAAATACCATTGCAACAATCATGCCACGAACAGCTGCCAAACACCTCTGAGTTTTCGTAGTTCAATGTAAAGCTGTCGCCAGTGTCTCCGTGTTTATCAGTGTTTTACGATAAGTATGCCTTTAGTTACTGTAATCGTAGAATGATTTGCAAATTAACTAGCTCGGACAAGTGTCTCAATCCATCGGATCCATCCATCCCTTTCTGGCGACCGAAATTCCTCCAACTTTTTATCATCAAACTTCGGACGTGTTTCTTGTGTCTTTTCAGCATCAATTATCAATTTTCACGAATAAAAATATTCCCAGACAACAATCTGTTCACTATTAATGATCACAAGTAGCCTTCCACTAATTATTCCCTTCGAAATAGATTCCTTAGCCTAACAAATTCGAAGCGTAACCGCCATGCAAGCCGATTTACACCTTACGTCATTTTTTTCAAAATCTACGACGGACGGTTTGTGCAATAAATAAATTCGAAAATATTCAATTGTCTGTCTCAAATGTATTTATAAGTAATAAATAACAAGTTTATAAACTTCAATGGAAATTGAAGTGGGTCGGTACGTGATCAAATCTTCTGAGAAGGCCTTCGGCCTTCACAGGATTTGATCACGTGACCGACCCACTTCAATTTCCATTGAAGTTTATAAACTTGTTATTTATTTCTTAAGTACACTCATGGTTGAAATCTGCATTCGACCAAAGTACCTTGCAGGCGAAAATTTTTGGTGGCCTGAATGTCAGGGTCAAGTGGGCTTTTGACAACAGAAGTAACGAATAATTTATTTTGAGACAGTAAAAGGATATGTACCCAGTTCTGCTTTTTCAAGTTAGATATTGAAAGCATTGATGGTGATGTCTAATATGTCTTCACCCAAGCAAATATACTTAAATTATAGATATATACTTATTAATTTTATTTTTCAGGTATTTCCAAAGAACTGGCTGCATATTTCACTCTCCTGGGAGATATAATTTTTTCAAAATTATTTTGCAAATTTGCATATATTAAGATACGATATTATACAACACAAGCAATTTTTTTCTTATGTATCTAAAGCTTACTCTCCTAATAACTTTTTCGGCCACCCTACTGAAAAGAAGAAATAATCTGGATTTGATGATATTTAACTAAGATTAAACAGGGTGAACATGTATGTCCATGTTGATTTGTTACAATAGGAAACAAAATGTGTTTTGAAACACTATGCACCTGGTCGCAACGACCTTCTAAAACACTATTTTTAGCATACATGTCACAGTCGAGGTCATAAGGTCATTAACATTGGTGTCATCTGAAAGAACCTTATTTGTGGAATATGCAAAGTAAATATAAAGTGTCTGTTTCTTATAGTTCATAGGTTATGTCTTAAGGTTGTAAATGCTATTTAAAGAATATACGTAACATTCAATGTCACATGGGTATTAACCTTGGTGTCATTAGTAAGAACTTTATTAGTAAAGCGATTATTCTAGCTATCAAGTTTCTATCTCTCACGGTCAAAAAGATGTCAAAGGTTAAAGGACAATCAGACAGAATGGACAAAAGCAATATACGCTCCGATCTGTCAATCCAGGCGCAAAAAATACTAAATACGACGGAAATTGGAAAATCAGCATTTTTAAATCAAGATTATTGACAATTTTCTTCACAAAAGCATTAAAATCAACACGCTTAATCAATCTTTATTCCATTCATTGAATATATTCAAATCTTAAGTTCAATGCATCTTTGAGGAGATTGGATTGCTACGCGGAATTTAAACGCAGTTCTCCTAAATTACCATTAAATGTAAAATACTAAGCTTTAGAAACAAAGACTGTATTGTTACAAACCTTGTTAAAAGACATCATTTGGTCTCTTTCATCCTTTTTTTTCGTGTCAGTTTCCTGAAATTAGAAGAATAGATTTTTTCCTTAACAAGCTCTTCGCGGTCCTTTTAATAAGATATTTATTTTGACTAATTTTCTTAATACTGTTGAGAGGGATACACAACCTGGGAAAATTAATTACATTTGAAAATGGATTGACATTCAGTAACTTGAAGTAAACGTGTATAGAGATAGCTTCTCTTTTTCAGTGAAAATCCCTGAAGAAATATTGCAATGGGATTTAGATGCCCGACGTCGATACTTGGAATACCTGAAAAAGGGAAAAACGCCAATATATAGAGCACGGGCAATGATAGTCGGTTGTGCGGGAGCTGGAAAAACAACTTTGCTGGAAAGACTACAGAAGAAATCTAAAGAGGACATACAAAAAATCAAGTCTACTGTAGGACTAGAAGTGCACAATGATATTTTTGTCGTCCTGGAAAAAGAAGGAAAACTAAAAGGTTGAAAATCTGTGATAAACATGCATGACAAATTGGTTGTCTTTAAAGATACATGCATATTGCCAGAGAGAGAGAGAGAGAGAGAGAGAGAGAGAGAGAGAGGATGAAACACATCTGTTTTAAGATATAACCAAAAATAAAAGAAATCCATTCATTTTCATCATACATGTATATGTATTTACCTAAGCCTTTAAAATCTTTGCTTGTTTTTGTGAATAATAACAACAGGAAAACCAATGTATATTGCAACTGATATTAAATTAATCTGTGTTACATATTTCAATTTAAAGTTGCTGTGCGTAAGTGCGAGGCTGCGATCCATATTGAAGAAAATGTTCCAATCAATGATGCAGAAACGATAGAGAAGAAAAGGCTTCTAAGTATCCTTGATTTTGGAGGACAGTGTATGTATTACGCCTGTCATCAAATCTACCTCAGTAAAAGAGCGTTCTACATTTTGGTAATTGACATGTCCAAAAACTTGGAAGATGTCATAGATGAGGAGCTGTGCGATCAGAAGGATACTATGTTCTCAAAATGGAGCAATAGGGGTAAGAGGAATGATTATCTCCAAAAATATATCATTTGATAACAGCCCCCTTATTGGTCAACCTGAGTGTGAAATTTTAGCTTCATTTGTGGTGAATTAAAAAATTATTACCATATTTGAAATATTTCGAAAAGTTTAGCTATCCATAACATATTTTTATTTTTATCATCATACTCTACTTGCATCTCACTGAATGTTCTTGAATTCACAGTAGTATATACAATTATGAAAAACGTATTAAAAGAAATATGTTGGAAAAGTGTCATGCTATCTGGTTTTCCATATTTAATTTTATTTCTACCGTAAAGATCTTTTTGGTCACATACATGACATTTCAAAAATATTGATCATCAGGGGAATAAATAGATTTATTTTTTATGCCCAATTTGCGGTTTATATCTACTAAAATTAATTTAGTGTAATAAAAAAAGAACAATGTTTTAATTGCTGGTACATTGTACGTATTTCTTTTTACATTTCTATCGACAGTTTTGGGTAAAATATCAAAGTACCTTATAAGTACTGAATTTAATCATGCATCATTCTTCAGCGTCATAAATGCTTACAAAGCCGGGCAAACAGTGACATCCTTTACGTTATTATTATGCTCTTTTAAGCCAAAGACTAGGGCGTATTCTATGATCATTTGTGCGGCGTCCCTAATAAAAAAAAAACTAATGTTTACTTTTGTTTACTATAGTTAACTATAGTTATACTCTGACACTTTGAAAACTTTGATTTACTATTGTGATAACTTTAACACTTTGAAAAACTTTATTGAAAACTTTGATAGTTTAAAAATTTCATCGAAAAATGACAAAAAAGGAGCACAGCAGTGTTAAGGTTACAAAAAGGCGGAGCCTAATTTGTACGGGAAAACTAGCCTATGGCATCATGCACATATACGTCATACAACATTTCTTTAAAATACCACGAAATGACCACGAAATGAGTTGATTTGCTAATTTAACCTGTAAGAAATCATCAACCTACATAACAACTTACTACAGCTTACTGTTTTGTCGTTAGTTAGATCCCACATTACAAGTTATAAACAGGTCACTGATCGCAATACACTTGTCAATATGACGTATATGCTTACAACGTGATGTAGTTTGTATGCAGTGAGAGACAGAAGAAGCTATATTTTTTCAACAAAATATGTATTCTCTAATGAAAAAAAATATTATTTACAGTTATTCTATGGGCCAGTAACTTGAATTTTATGTCTTCTTCACTATTTTATTATTTTATGTCTTCTTTACTATTTTATTAATATATTTTCTGTACATTACGTATTTAATTTGACGCTGCCGTATATTTGTATGCAAGTACATCGGAGGGTAACGTGGGGGTCTTAATAAATTGATCTAGTGCAAGGGCATACACTCTATAGATCAAAGTAAGCTTTTACACTTCAACTCTTGAACTATTAAGATATCTGAAAAGTGCTGCGATCCTGTTGAAATCTTGAAAACAATTTAATTATATCAATGTTTCATGCTGCTGACCAGCAAATACAAATATAATTCTAATGTTAACAATACAACTGCAGAATTTAAACAGGATCGCAGCACTTTTTTGAAACTACAATGCGTGTTGAAAATATGTATGTCCTTAACTTGGAAATCCATATTGGTTATTCCCTTGCACTAGTGATATTTATATGTAACATCAATACTGCAAGTCAATGTACTAAAATCGCGTGACTGCAGCATCACGTGACTAGTCTAAATATAAAATATACTCGTCCTCGATATGTAGTTATTAATCATAATTACAATTATCCGATATAAATAATGTACTAAAAATAATCGCCATCCCGATTATAAATACATTTTTAAATAGAAAAATTTAGTCGATATTTCCATTGCGCACCTAAACTGTATTGCGAGGTCATAGTAACCTACTTTTGACATTTTATGGCTATATTTACATATATTTTATCATTGGTACCTATTGGCTTAGAATTGCAAACTTTGTCAGTTAGTGCATTTTGAGTTTTCGGTGAATGTTGACCAAAAATAGGTCATAGTGGCCTACTTTTGAGTATCTCAGGTATTTTGATTTTATTGACTTAGAATCATCAAACTCTATCAGTTGATGCATCTTGGGTTTTCAGAGAACTTCAACCCAAAAAAATCCATATCAGTGAAATATTCTGGAGAGGGACGTTAAACAATATATATATACAATCAACCAAAAAAGTAGGTCATGGTGACCAACATTCGACATTTTATGGCTATATTTAAGGATATCAGGAACTTATCGCCTTCGAATCGTTTAACTTGATTAGTTGATGCATCGTGGGTTGTCAGAGAATGTGGACCGAAAAGCAGGTCACCGTGACCTAATTTAGAGTATGTCAAATACCTACTGGCTTAGAATCATTATCAGTTTATTTCATGGCCTCTCAGAGTCTTTATCTTAATTGTATATCTTGATGACCTAATTTTGCAATTTCAAAGCTTAAGTCATATCTACAGGATGCTTCGAGGCTTAATTCAATTAGAAGTGATAGATTGTACACTTTATCAGAAGTGCGAATAAAGGCCCCTGGACTTGGACCTCTTGCTTTTTTATCTTTAAATGACATGTACAGACCCATAAACGTTACATATACATGTACGTGTGCATTAAATATTTGACTTAAACTTAAGATCTTTAAGTGCACATTCAATATCCCATAGTCTTACAACTTCTTGTCTTCTTTCTCTATGATTTTTAATTTTGTTTAAATACGAATATCAAAAAGAATACCCGGAAAACAGCTTTCCTTTAGATCAAATACAGATCGACACTGCAAGACATGGTGAAAAGGGCAAATAGCCAATAAAATAAAGATAGCCAATAAAATAAAATCAAATAAATAGTTTGAAAGGAAAACTTTGAGAAGATACTGTCATAGAAAAAAAATAAACAAAACTAATACTGATTTGTAAATTGGTTATTTAATGATCAGATTAAAGTATTGATTACAAAAATGATTAATTAGAGTACGCTCTGGAATTTATGAATTATTTATAATATTTTCAACAGAGTTGTGCGTAAAACACTTTTTTACAGATTATCTTCTATTTTGGTTGAAATCTGTGAACTGTTACTGTGGAAGTGAGGCCCCTGTTATTCTTGTTGCTACTCATGCAGAGGAGAAAACGGAAAAGGTATGTCAATAGCCTTTTGTTAGTCACATCTGTAAATCATATATGATGATTTTTTTAATCATGTTTAGAATAAATTGAAGTTTTCGAAAAACATAAGAGTTCATTTATAAAATCGTATTTTCAAGGAAAAAACTGAATATTACCAAAGACTTATCGAGTCGTTTCCTGTGTCTTCCACGATTAAAACACACTTGTCCAGCGATAGATATTTTACACTAAGTCTCAAAGAACATGATAGAGCATCTGTGGAAAGTCTTGCTGAATTAGAAAAAAACATTGTGGAAGTATTAAAGTCACAAACACATTGGGGAGAAGAAATACCCCTGGATTGGGCTATATTTGAAAAATTTATTTCAGAGAAAAAAGAGACAAAACTTCAGAAAGTAGACAAATTAAAGGAATCATTTGATGAAGTGCTTCTTTTAAGCAGACGAGAGTTCAAAGACTTATTACGCTTTTATCATGATATTGGCGTGATTCTATATTTTTCATTTAAAACCCCAAGGAGAAAATTGGAGGAACTAGTTCATATTTTGACTGAAAATAGAATCTACGACTGTCATCTTCATTTTGGATCTGAAACTGTTATCCTTGATATTCAGTGGTTTGTCAATTCATTTAAATATGTGATGACGGATTCAAAGCAAGCTAGTTTCAACAAAGTTATAGATGCAGCCCCCAATAGAGATTCGCTGGATATACTTACAACTACCGGTGAGATCTCAGGCACGTTCCTTAAATCAATCTGGACAGTTACGAAAACCAATCAGCAGTGGAATACAAGGATGATATGATGAAATATATGGAAGGACTGGGTCTCATGGCGATAGAAGAAAAGTCTGATATATGTTTTATTCCAAGTATGAATAGAATGAAAGTTCCAGAGCACGTAAAATCAAAGATTCATTCACATCCCAACAAATCACCGACACTGTACATCAGATTCCCTGTTCTGCCCGTATTTCTCTTCTACAGACTGATTGTGCTTTGTCTGATGGAAGGTTGGAAACCATTGATCGATGGAAGAAAATGTATATATATAGACACTGCTATGTTTTATTATGAAGAACACGTTTTAGTTTTAGGAGTAAGTGAGAGCTTTATACAGTTGTTATTGTATAATGATGATGATCAGACGCAAGAGATATCAATACATGGTGCCTTTATTTATGTTAAAAAAGAAGTAATAGAGATGTTGTCATCTCTAACAGAAACATTTAACAGCGACCTTCATTATGAAGTTGGATATAGCTGTACACCTACAGAGTTTGGTAAAGAGCTAGACAACACTTTTATAACAGAGAATGATTTGTTTAAATACATCGGGAGAAAATGTCCTCTCCACGCACATGCAGAAGACCATGATGTTGAAGACTTGCGCGGATTCCTGGTAAGATATTTTTGCAGAAGTAAATTTTATTTTTATAAGCTCATTATCAATTTTAATTTGTATTTTGTATTGTCTTAAAAATGACCTCCTAACCTTTAGCAATTTTTTTTACAGCATATCATGAAATTTCTTCCGATCTGAGTTATTCGATGGTGCTTTCTTTTTCAACATAGGTACATGTATATGAGTTACTTTTTACATATTATTTTTTGGGACATTACAAACATAATATACTTTTTCGCAAAAATTAGTCTCTAAGGTGAAAGTGAACGAATAGAATATGTTATTTACCGAATACAATTGTATCTTATATGTACGAGGGTTGTCCCCAAAACACGAACTAACAGTTTAAATACTATTCAACCAATGCTAATAATTTTTTGCATGCTGTTGGAAAATCATTTTGTAGATATTTTGACAAAATACATTAAACCTGTAGTGTCGTACGCATATGAAAAGAGCTTTTAAGGGATTTTAAACATCAGTGTTCGGCGCACGATATTTTTTGGCCTTTACAAATATCATTGTCAATGAAGTTTTCTTTATTATTCGGCTATATTGCAAGACAATGTCAAGAATTGGACCCAAGATGATGTCAAAGGGGCTCGGAAAAAAACAAGAAACGCTTTTCCATTACTAAGTCTGAATGATTTAACTAAAATATTCTCTTTTGAGTAAAAAGTATTTTCGTATCATTTTCATTAAGGTCTTCCGTTTCCAACGGAAGACCTTCTACTGATTCTGTTGGTAAAGATTATTATTCTTTTTTTTCTTCTACTTCCTAGACGCCAACTTTGAGTCCTCATATCTCACTCATTTCTCAACGATTTCGCTCAAATTTTTAGAGGTTATAGACGTTTATTAACTCTATCAGAATAATGACTAAAATTTCAAAAAGTCACTTCCGGTTTTGAGTTATTCCCTTTTAAACGAAAAATCATAGGCTTTCGTTTCCGGATAAAGGCTCAGAGACCACAAAAGCTGGAGCAGAAATTTTACTTGTTTTGGATAACAGAAGGATTGAAGTTGTGCACATCCATTTTTGTTTTTCGATTTCTGCATTCAAAATGGCGCTATATAGGGGTCAAAAATTAGAACGCCTAAAAGAGCGAAAATTTACACATATTTTCCTTTTTATCTTGAAAACTAAAAATATTTTGTTAAGACATATTGAATAAAAGTTGTGCATTATTGCGAGAGCTTTCATTTGATATCATTAAAAAGGGGCTGGCCCCTAAAATTAGGGATCTATTGCCCTTGAAAGTTTTTGCTATGTATCTCAAAAACGATTAATATTTCGAATGACTTTTGATAATAAAATTGTGATTTAACATCTTACTGATCTTATGAAATTGTTATTTTGTTCTAGTCTTGATTAAAGTTTGTACAGGTAATTCTTTTCGCTCAGCTCGTAAATGAAAGTTTCTCATGCGTGTATATAAAACAAACTTACTTTAAATAAAAATCATGGCTACATTGGATGCTCATATTCTTTAGAATAAAGTTCTTGAAGTGTTTTGTGCTTTTTTTTCCCAAATTTTCATGCTTATTTACTAAGCGCACGCCTTTACATTCACCTTGTTTGTTTACAATTATATAACGCGCCTCCCTCGATAACGTGGGGCAAAGTCGGTCACCGGGAATCAATCGGCGGGTAATCCAGCGACCCACAGTTATACACAAATTAAAACACAGAATGGTTAAATTCATTTTTTTAAATGTATTAAATTGTTGCTTAATACTATCTCTGTCCTATGAAAATATTAATTTGTTCGAATCTTGCGTATTATAGGAAAGAAAGCTAGACGGTGCTCATCTTGCTATTGAAGGAAAACTCTTTAGTCTTTATGCGTAGAATTGCAGTAAACTTACCATAAGTAATAATTATTTTACAACGCTGTATCATATCTCTTTTTTTAAAATTATGTTTTAAACGTGTTCCTTGGTTCCCGTTCAGAATATTCAATGGCATCATTTTCATTTTATTAATCAAGATCTTTCCAAGAGAAAGAGTTAATAGAAAAAGCTAGACCTAGTATCTTTTCTTCGTTTAAATATGAACACAAACAATATGAACGAAAACGATAAACGCCCGGATCTAAGAAAAAAAAAACTTTTAAAGAGTCAAATAATACAAAAATTATTTACTGCACGATTTTCACATTCACCTGGAACCCATATTTTAAGCGTGTGTACCATTGCGTAGTCTTACGATTACACGTGTCCAAGAAAATCTAAAGCGACACTCCGCGGCGAACCATTGACACGTAGTCATAGACAAATAATTGGTGTATTAAAACTATTTTATAATTAATGAAAAATTATTATTGTCGGATATTTGAGATTAATATGTTGGCTTATCTTTGTTTTAAATTTGATCGTGATACATGTTTCTAGCTATCTAGGCTTTGTGTTTGTTTACAATTACGCGACCAATCATTCCTTCTATCGCTTGTTGACATTAATTTACACAACGTGGTCAAACGTTAAATCTAATTTTACAAACTTACGGAAAACATTATTTTCTGTAAGTAAATCGAATCTTTCAAACATATTTTAAAATATCTAAGGTTAGACTTTAGAACAATTTATATGTACATTAATCAATCTTCAATTTTTATAGTTCGTTAGGTAATTGTGTAATTTTACTTTTCATTTTGACGATTCATAGTGTAAGGACTGGCGATCTGCGTATACTTAACTTCAACTTAAATTTAAATGTACAAGCTTAAATTTCTTTGTGCTTTTAACACACAAATAAATCTGTTTTCAACACAAATTTTCCCAAACACATTTTTTTTATCACAGATTTTTACCATGGCTATTTCATTTTTAAACTTTTAAAGAAAATCTTCATAAGGAACTAATTAGAATTATACTCAATGAAATGGACTAAACATCGATACGTATCTCCGCACCTGTAAACTTCATAAGTGACTTCTGTGCTTGCACAATGCCCATTTTTATTACAGGTTGAATAGTCAAGTTGAAAAGATAATTCAAGATTTTAAAGCAATGAATTTAATTTGTGTAATAATTTAATCAAAACCTGTAAATGATTAGTATAGTGTGCTAACATTTTAATTTTGTTCCGTGATTTTAAAAATATCAGTAGCAGGTTATACAATGAATATGTAAGTAGTAATAAACCGGCATCGTATGTACGGAATCGAAAATTTGCAGCTACATGTACTGAATATTAGAAATTTATCAAGTAATTACACACTTTTATTTCCTAATTTAAACTGTTGAAATCATAACCGACACCATAGTTAAACATTAATTGTCTTATAATCGGCACTTAATAGGACCTTTGAGCAGAGAGGGATCTTTTTCGTGCCAGCACCTAAAGCGACACAGGACTTTGTTGTATAAGGTCTCATCGGAAGAACAGGTCCCCACGTCCCACAGTGGGATTCGAAACCTCGGCGTACGGAGCTGATCCTTACCCCGCGACTATAGAGCAGTCTCTCTTATCACTGCGTTATGTGGGCAACCTTAAGGGATATAAAATGAAAACAATGAAGAAAACGGTCAGTTAAAAAAAAGAAGGGGTCGTTTTGAAATATTATTCTTATGAACTTCAGGGCAAGTAGGAGAAACTATATTTATGAAAGCTTCCTGATATAAAAAAAGATTACTTTTTTTCAAATCATGACTAGAGTTTTCCCTTGCAAAGTGATTTTGTATTTTAGGGGGTAGTGGGGATGGGACGGGAATGAAACGGTCTGTTTAACTGTCCATATGTCTGTCTGTCCCTGAAAGTTTTTCCCAGAAGGCCAGGCTATAACATAAAGAAACCAGAAGCTTGTACTCGATACAAAGATTTCAAATGATCCTAGGATTTGTCATTGTATGTATTCAAGGCAATATTACTGGAAATTCAAGATCACTGGAGAAAGAATTAATGTTTTGTTGCATTCATTTATATGTAATCAAGAATATCTGTAAGCTCATACTTGATACAGAGATTGCTTGTGATAAAAAGGTTTTTTTTTAACGATTTTGACTCAGAAAATAGTATTTTTTCATTCTGACTATATTTGTTTAAGTCCTTACTTGATCAAATGGCTTATAGTCCGCTGGTTTTCAGATGACTTAAATAAGGTCATTTTAACAAATTCAGGGCCAATGACAGAAAAGTTGTAAAACACCTGTCAGAGTTATGAGTTTCTAAAAGTTGTTTCAGATTGAGGGTTTGTTTTGACAAAGAGCCAAGGTTATTCTGTTAAAATCAAGGTCACTGACAAAAGAAATCTGTTCTCTTCCAGGATATGAACTAGTAAGTGAAAATCATTGGAGGCTCTTACTTGTAACATAGACTAATTATGATTGGAGGTTGTGTAATGTCACCCTGATCAAAGGTCTTTCTGGCAAATCAATGGTCACTGAGAGAGAAAAAATGTTTAAG